GCCAGCAATTTCATGAGAGGCTAAATTTTTTACCAAATGATTGGAATTTCGATATGTTTGGAACTAAAACTATAATATTAATAACAACAAAAACAGTACTCCAAAGTTTAGTCCACCTTGTTACTAGCTGTCATCATCTCCTAATCCAATTATCGCCTGGCCTTTGTTTTCTAACCACAGGCAGCCGGATCTCAGATCCGGCTCRTACGAAAAAAGCAGGTCTCCAGCTCGTAATGGATGGGAAGATGGAGGACGGAGGATGAAAAGATGGAGGATGGGAAGATGGAGGATGGGGTGATGCAGGATGGRAAGATGGAGGATGGGGGATGGGAAGATGGAGGATGGAGGATGAAAAGATGAAGCATGGGGATGAGGAAGAATGGAAGATGTGGGATATGAAAATGGAGAAGGAGGGGGATGAGACAATGGAAGATGAGGGATAGGAAGATGGAGCATGGGGATGAGGAAGAATGGAAGATGTGGGACATGAAGATGGAGAAGGAGGGGGATGAGACAATGGAAGATGAGGGATAGGAAGATGGAGCATGGGGATGAGGAAGAATGGAAGATGTGGGATATGAACATGGGGAAGGAGGGGGGATGAGACAATGGAAGATGATGGATAGGAAGATGGAGCATGGGATGTCAATGTGATTGCTATCTCTCCTCATGCCTTTTTTTCAGTACGAGGCTGTAGCAAGGTCTGTTGATTATCAGTTTCATTCATGTCAAGAAGATAGAAWTCCTGTGAACTCCCCTACACAGCCAGAAGAGAACCAGCCWAATAACATGGCCCCACCCCCACCCCGTGGGGACATTGTAAGCAACCCTAATAGAGTCAACACCATGGCATTCTGAAAAGCTGCAGTATTCAAACTACAGGAAGCATAACCACTAAGTGGAAAAAAACACCTTGACCTGTTCATGACAGAGGTCATTTTACTGCTAGTTCATTCAGTTCATAATAGAGTGCACACACTAAAACCGTGAACATTAAATAGTACTAATTAGTACTATTTCATACAGAATCCTTTGTTTTCTATTGTTTAATTATCACTATTTAGTGCTAAAAATTAGTATTTTTTTCACGAATTTAGTGTGAGCACTCTAACTTCCACATTAATTAAATTGATATGACTTGATATTATGTCATCAATTTTAGTTTTAATTTTTTTATTATTTCTAGCTAAACACTTCCAAGCATTCCTTTCATTCCAGAGGTTATTATTTATTAATTCTTGTTTGTTTTTTTCCGCTGGCGGGGGTGTGCTCACTTTGCACATATGTGCATGCCCACCCCATTCTTTGCCAATCCCTGTGTGCTTCATATAATAGCACAAGTGCAAATGTTTATATTTCTTTCCTTTTTCACCCTCTGTTACTGGCAAAAAAAGTAACAAAAGCATCTGGAGTGAAAATGCCTTCAACCAAAAACTTTTACAACTCTTCTTATTGCTATGCGCTGATTGAGACAACAGTTGTGACAGGGAAATTGGGCAATGCACTCCCGTCAATAAAATAAATTGGTTGGTACCTTTATATTCTTTGATTGGCGGCAGTGTATTGCCCTATTTTCTTGTTACGACTGTTGTCTCGATCAGCATGTAGCAGTGAAAAGAGTGGAAAAATCAGCTGATTTTTTTAAAAAGGGGAGTTGATTTTAATGAATATCAGGGCATGTATATATTTGTATCATTGTCAAATAATTTATAATTTATATTTCTGTCGTGTTCAATAGGAGATACTTTAAATTTATTGACATAAAGATTTTAAAACAATTATTATCATAATATAACATAATGGGACTTTTGGATTGTACAGAGTGATTTTACTGGCCTTATGATACAAAAGTAGTAAGTGCTAGCACTAATTCTATTGTTTTCTTTTGTTTTACCCTGACTATTATAAATAGGTGGGCGTACAATGACCAAATTTTGTTTTGGTTGATTGCTTTTTAAATTGCAAACCAGAAATCTATTGGACAATCGATTAAAGCAGAGTGACAAAACCTATCGTTGAAATGGTTCGCACATAACCATGCATCACGTTGGGAAAGTTTAGAAACATTAATAACGTCCACTAATATTTTGTCATACAACTTCGTTTCATAGGTCAAGTAAAACCATCATTTCACTGCTACTACCAGCATGCTTTGCAAATTTTCTTTCTTTGAATTTTTATCTCCTCATGAGAAAAGTATTGAAGACAATTGACCTTTTTAGTGTTGTTGTTTGTTGTGCACATTTCAGACCATGTTATGCCACTCTTAGGTGTTGATTCTTTCATGTGTAAATATTTTAACAAGTTCATCCTAAAAGAAAAATTCTCAAGGGAATGTCATGTGATCTGAAATGGGTAAATTGCAYATGAAGCTGAAAAGGTCAGTAGCCAATGTGCACTAGCACAAATCTCTAGCACAAAGCACTCCAAGTACTACACAAATTAGAACAAAGAAACCAATTAGAATTATCACAAAAAATATACTCTTTTATTTTCTTCTCTTAAGATACTTAAATTTCCTTAGAAAATGATGAAGGAAAAACTGTCAGAGATTTTTTTTAGAGGAGATGAAAAAGCATAAGTACTTGGTTTCCCATCATGCTTTGTGCTAGAGATTTGCGCTCGTGCACATTGGCCATTTGTGGTAATTAACTGAACAAATCAAAGTGAACAAGGTGGTAGTAAAATTAATGATGCTATAATGCAAATGGCTGATTCAAATATAATACATTTAATATTTTTAAATGAATGTACCATCCTTGGTTATAGAGAAATAATTTACATAATTTCCTTTTGTCTTTCAAAGAAACAAGAGCCTAGGTTAAGATTACAGATGAATGCATATTTTATAATTATTAATGTATAAATTATTATTTTTTAGATATTAAAATCTTTATTTGGCAGAATTATTTTGCTTTATAGATTATTATTAAAAGAGGCAATGTCTGCAAAAATCAAATGGAGTGGCCATGTTAAGAAAAATATTTTTGTTCATTTTTGGTCCGAATTAAAGATGTGGAATACCACCCAAATAAATGTAGTGATGTTCATTTTGAATAATTTCACTTTTATTTTGGGAAAATTGTGTCAATTCAGCCTAAATCCGTGGTGATAATGGTAGGTCTGAGAAAGGCTTAGACCTTAGTAGGTTATACTTAGCTAGACAGTATTGTGTAAATTGCCTTTGAACCAACTTGCTCTTCAGCCAAGAGAAATATTGCAGCAAGGTAGGTGGCTTTGCATATTATATTCAGGGGGCAAAATAACCCTGACATACCTATTGAATCGCCGCATTTTGCAAAAACCTCAGGATTTAAAAAAAAAGAGCAATACAAGGCATTTTTACTAAATTAACTAAAATCTTGGACTTCGTATTTAATCACTTGTTTTTAACTAAGTTGTTTATTCCGTCGTGGTAGATAAATTGTATTTTGCTTATGTTCCTTAGTGAAAAAACAGTGAAAAAATCTATAATGAAAGTTTGAGTCGGAAAACTATTTTCACGGATATGTGGTAATAAATTGCACTCCAGTCTGAAATAATATAACCTAATTTATAAAAAAGCTATCTATGCTACTTCTAGAAGGAGAAGGTATAGGATAATCAAAGAAGGGAAGGCTGTACCAAAACAAATGAAAATAAATAAGAGAAAGAAATCAGCTCAAGGGAATAGCTAAAAAATATTATACGAAATGGGAAGAAAKTGAAACAGGTAAATTTTTCACTATTCCCACGTACGCTCTTTTCCCTACCTCAATTTTTTCCACTGTGCTTTTTACCCATCCCTAATAATTTATCTGCATTAAATAATCGTAGAGGATGGCCTAGGGCCGTGCCCTCATAAACATAAACCGAATGGGCTTCCTGTGGTACTGTTTATTACCCATCATCCCTGGTGAAGGTGCATTCAAAATGGCGGGCAAATCTGAATCAAGCATGGATGAAGGTGCACTCGTTACGGTGAGAAAAACTTGCCTTAATTTCATATTTACAGCTCATAGGCGAAATAAAAACTTGTATTATGTATTCTAAAAGTTTACTTTCTAGCTTTTTTGTTTTACAAGAACTTTTGATCAAAGAAAACGATTTTTTTTCGTGGAAGTAAGGCTTACCTTGGTTGTGGCTGTCACTTGTCTGAATTAATTGTTGTTTTGTGCAGCTTGTGCATCAAATAATCTTGTTTGTTAGAGAAAGCCTTCTTATATCAAGGAATATCTCTTTTCACCTTTGATTCCGTCTCAAAACTGCTTTTTTTCGGTATAAGCAAGCAGTTTTATTTTGACAMAAGGGAGCTCGAGTGAGTATAATCTATTCGTTATATTTTCAGTGAACTCTTGTTCACCTAAGCTTAGGCTTACGTCAATGGTTCTTATATATTATTGTTCAAGCTGGGCAGCCTTTCCTGGTCAAAATTTATTAATTACTCACGCCTCTCAGTTTTATTCCATTCTAGTTAGATAGATAGATGTTTTATTGATATATAACCCAAATGTTGCAGTAAGTAAATGCATTTTTTCATGTTTTGATACTGTTAGTTGATACCAGAGTGTCAAGCTGGGGGTAAGATTACTGGTCACTGGTCAACTGGTCATGGGATTACAGTTCATGCATCAGAGGGAAAGCCGACATCAGGTGGGTGTTGAGATGGTTTTGTATGATGGGGAGGAGGGGGGGGGGGGTGTATGGTACGCAAGGACCAAAGAGAGGGAGAGGATTGAGCCTCCTCACTTTAAAAACAAGATGCGCGTAAAAAAAAATGTTCTAGTACATTTTTTATCTATTTTCTTACTCTTTCGTATTTCAGAGGTCATTATCTTGACCTCGAATTAAAAATAATCATTTAGTTTTCCCGATTTTTTTTCACCATTCACTTTAATCTAAATTGGGCTCCCTGTGCCCATCCCCCATACTTATTCACCATATTCAATGTAAACAATTAAATAATAATAAGTGCTTTTGTCATTTCCTAAATGCTGTGTTACTGAACATGACAAAGAAAAAGCAGTTTTATTTTAAGGAAAAATCCACTTCTTTGCAGAGTTGGCTGCATACGTGGATAATGTCATCAACAATGCTCCCTTTACTAATATTGCACAGTTCTTGATCAATCAAAAGCACACACAATGTAATCTATACACGTAATTGAAAAAAGGTTGTCGGGTTCAAAAAAGGTTATATCATCAAAGCTAAGACCGAATGGGAGCATGGGAAGACAAACAAATATGCTAATTTCATGCATATTGCAGTTTTCCCTTCCTGCGGACATTTTCTGTAAGAACAAATGATGGAGTCTGTAGTAGGTATAGTTGCTAGAGGGGACTTGTCTTTAAAAAAATTCTCTTGGGGAGGGGTGTAGTGAGTGGACATGGATAATTTCTGGAACACATATTTCAAGGTTTGTATAGAAGAAACTTGGAAATTTCAGAGGGGTGGGGTGGAGGGACCCTTTTTCAAATTTCCTCCATTGTGGGGTATTGAAATTTTCTTGAACCACAATTTAAATATTATATTAGTAAGAGTCATTTGGATCTTTTTTTCCTGCCATTACATAATATTGTAATATCTGTATAAGAATATCCCTTGAAAAAAATGACTTTTCAATTTTCCTTATTTCACAGCTCAACCTTTAGGTCATTATCGGTTTCCAGTGATGCATGAAGTCAAGTGGCATGCTGATGTGCATACTACGATAATGCGCAAACTGATTAATGAAACTCATGGTAAGCTCTTCTCTTTACCAGCAAGCCATGACACGAGTGTAAAACGTCTGCGCATGCTCTGAATCCTTATGCCAATAGGATCAAATCAAACATGTATGTAAATTTGACTTTCAAACATGCCTGATAAATTGCACTTCACAAAATGCCAAAACGTAGTGTCCATGCTTTAAACTTAAGGCTAACTCTTTCATATTGTTTTATTTAATGCAGTATCTTGGTCTGACAAAAGTATACTCTCGAACTTTTTTGTATACTTGGAGAAAACAAAAATTTATTTTCTCACTTGAACTCTTCAAAATTCTTAGAAAACATGCTGAAATGCACGCATGTGCAAACGATTTTCTTTAGTGTCGCAAGCYATATGAAGGGGTGTTGACAAAATGTTCTTTAACCTTGAGCATAATGTTTTCTCATTTCAGACCACTAGTCATTCTATAAAATAAAATTCTTTGTTTGAGCTGTATCTATATTCATGTGTTTCTCATGTGCAACTGTTAAAACAAAAAAGATACTCCAGGGAATGACACMTGGTCTGAAATGGGAAAACTTTACGCCCAAGGTAAAGAGAGGTATTAGTAAAGGGTAACGTTCTTTCTAGCAAGAGATGTCAAGATTAATACAGTATTGTCATGTTTCTTGGGTTTATTTAAATATAAATTTTTCCTTYAGGAATATTTCTAGATCTTCAAAAGCTACCAGAAGCAGGAGGAACTTCCAGAAAATCCAGGTAAATCGTGCAATAATATTTACAAAAAATTGCAAGTATTGTTAAGATTTGTGAATATTTTTTAATAAAAAATAAATAAATAAATAGTGGCAGTTGCTTAATTTGCTGGATGAGCCACATGTGACCAATTAATGTTACCAGGAAATTTTACCAGCTTGCTGGACATTATGACCAGCCACATGTGACCAATCAATGTTACCAGGAAATGTTACCAGTTTGCTGGACATTATGACCAGCCACATGTGACCAGGAAATGATACCAGGAAATGTTATCAGTTTCCTGAACATAATGACCAGCCACATGTGACCAGGAAATGATACCAGGAAATGTTATCAGTTTCCTGAACATAATGACCAGCCACATGTGACCAGGAATTGTTACCGGACAAGAGGATTGTCCTACCTCGGGGACCAACCTAAGAGGCATTTGCCAGGACATTTGTCCATTGACTGGCTTTTATTTTTTTGCCCTGCTTTGAAATTCTGAATCTCTATATTATTTCTTTTTTTTTTTTTTCCATTTCAGTTTACTAACAATAAGTAGAAGGTATCGAGCCGTGTTAAGGGCATGCTTACTACAGTTAAAGGACAAAATAGGTAAGAAATAACCCAGGTGGGATTTCAATATGATACTTTAATGTAAGTTTCTGGACTGACTTTAGCTTGGTAATTTTTTGTAGATATAGAGCCTATGACTGTTGATGGGAATCACAATACTGGCACACAGGTAAAAACAGCTTTGCTTCACTCCAAATKTCTTTRATTTGATCCTTGTGATAACTGTATCATTTCTCTAAAATTTTGTTTAATGTTGCAGAAGCAATTGTTGACCTTCATAGAGCTTGTGTGGCATCTGTGTGAAATACTCTTCATAGAATCTCTACCAGGTAAAGAATACTATTACTTGTTCCAGGTCACTAACCCTTATTCAGTCCTTTATGCTAAATTCTAATTTAATGTGCGAGTTAACTATGCCTCACTTACAGTATATTAGACCAGAGGTTGTTTCAGGTTTCAACCCATGAGGTAGCCTTGCTTTGCATTATATCAGCACAGAGGTTGTTTCAGGGTTCAATCTGTGAGTTAGCCTTGGCCTGAATTTGATCAGCCCTGAGGTTGTTTCAGGGTTCTATCTGTGAGTTAGCCATGCCCTGACATAGATCAGCCTAGAGGTTGTTTCAGGGTTCTATCTGTGAGTTAGCCTTGCCCTGAATTTAATCAGCCCAGAGGTTGTTCTAGGGTTTGAGCTGTAGTTAGATGTGACTTGACGTAATCGGCACAGAGGTTGTTTCAGGGTTTAATTTGATGAGGTTTTCTGAGCAAATGAGATCGAGAAACACAGTTCTAACACTGTTGTATTTCATAAATTTGAGTTCTATTAA